GGACTTCCCATACTATCTTCCACAATCTTCCAAATTGATGATCTCCTTTGGTTTTTAGTATCCTCTCTCTGTCTCTTTGTCTCCCCCTGTGTCTGTCTCTATTGTTATTCTCTCTCATACACATATAAATGCATAAAAATATAGCTACAACCTTCTTGGCCCACTTACTGTGGCTTGTGTGTTTATAATTTCTGGGCTGACCACTTTTTATTGGATAACTATTTATGAGGCTGTTCCCTGCAGTCAATAGTTGCCTGTAGTTCTCTGTGTAGGAGTGAGACTCCATGAAATTTCACCCTTCCATATGTCTATGAATACTGTCTTTGTTCAGGTCTTGTTTAGGTAGCCACATTTTAGTAGCTTCCCTTTCACCTATTTATAGGCAATAAACTATTACAGCAGACTTCTTGGTCTTCCAGATCTTAAAATCATTTTACCCCTTCTTCAGTGTTTTCTGAGGTTTAGGTGCAGTAATTATATTGTTGATATATCTGTAATTGGAGTTCTTAATTGGTCTAAGTAATAAAAACCCAGAGTCAGATCCACTTGTCTCTGCCTCCCGAGTGCTGGGATTAAAGGCGTGCGCCACCAACGCCCGGCGTAACATGATTTCTTGAGGCTTCATCAAAAATCCTTGGTGATATTTGTCTGTCTTCATTCCTCTCTTACATTGATGTTCTCTCCCCCTTCTCAGTTAGAAATGTCTTCCATGTTTTTCCCATTTTCACTACACTTATCACCTGAATCCTGTTACGCCTCTTTATAACACATACTATGTGTTATTTATATCCAAAATTTGAATTTAGGAACCCCAGATGAGATAGAACATGTAATATTTGCTTTCTGGTCTGTCTAGGTACTTTGAAGGTTGAAGATTACAGTTTTCTTTACAGCTAAGTAGTATATTTACTATATTTCATTATGTGTCTATTGATGGACATTTGGGTTGGTTCCATTTCTTGGCTCTGTGAATATGGAGCAGTGAACATAGCAGAGCAGGAATCTGGAGTAGCATGGTGTATCATTTGGGTATATGACAAGAAGTGGTATAGATGGGTCATGGTGTAGATTTGTTTTAAGGGTTTTGAAGATTCACACTGATTTCTAAACTGGCTGCACCAGTTTGCGTAATTTTCCTACAACCTTGACATCATTTGTTGTCATGTATTTTGTTTTTAGTCATTCTGGCTGGTGTGATATAAAATCTGAAAGTTGTTTCACTCTGCATTTCCCTAATTGCTAAGCATCATGAAAACTTTCTGAGATATTTCTTAGGTATTTAAATTGAGCCTTTCATTTTCTTGACTATTTGGTTTTGAGTTTTTGTATATTTTTGCTATTAACCTTCTCTCCTAGATATATCTGGTGGAGATTCTCTTCCTTTCTGGGTTTGCACCCCACTTAATTGTTTGTTGGCTTTGCTATGCAGAAGCTTTTAGGTTTATAAGGTCTCATTTGTCAGTTGTTCACCTTAATTCCTGGGCAAGTAATTCATATTCTGAAAGCCTTTTCCTACATCTATGTCTTGGTTGAGTAGTGTCCATGTTTTCTTCTAGAGTTGTAGCATTTCAGATTTCAAATTGAGATCTTTGATATACTTGTAGTATTGTTTAGAGTAATAGATATGGATCTAATTTTATTTTGCATGACAGACATTGCATGAACTATCCTTTCTTCTGTATATGTTATTATATGTTTTTGTTAAGTAAACTATTTTTTTTGGTTTTTCGAGACAGGGTTTCTCTGTGTAGCTTTGGAGCCTATCCTGGCACTCGCTCTGGAGACCATGCTGGCCTCGAACTCACAGAGATCCGTCTGCCTCTGCCTCCTGAGAGCTGGGAATAAAGGCGTGCGCCACCAACGCCTGGCTTTAACTAAACTCTTTATAGATTAACTTCCTTTTTTCAAATTTGTGGTTAACAAGACTTACTTTAAATTAATTTTTGTTTAAATTTAAAACAATCTTATTTTACATATCAATCCCAGTTCCCTCTCCCTCCTGTGCTCCTACTCCCCCCTGCAACCCCCCATACCTCCCCACCCCCAATCCAGTCCTTTGGGAGGGTGAGGCCTCCTATGGGGGAATCATCAAAATCTGTCACATCATTTTAGGCAGGACCTAGTGTATCTAAGCTGAGAGAGTATCCCAAAGCCCATTCACACACTAGGAATAAATATTGGTTCCATTCCCAGGCCTCCCAACCGACACCCAAGTTCAGGGGGCCTGGTTTGGTCTTATGCTAGTTCACCAGCTGTCAGACTGGAGTCCATGAGCTCCCACTTGCTCAGGTCAGCTTTTTCTGTGGATTTCCCCAGCATGGTCTTGACCCCTTTACTCATTACTCCTCCCTCTTTACAACTAGATTCCAAAAGTTTGGCTCAGTTATGAATCTCTGCTTCTGCTTTTATCAGTGCTTTCATCAGCTATTGGATGAAGACTCTATGATGGCATTTAAGGTAGTCATCAATCTTATTATAGGGGAAGGGCATTTAAGGTAGCCTCTCCACTAATGCTTAATTTCTTGGTTGGGTTCATCCTTGTGGATCCCTGGAGATTTCCCTTGTGCCAGATTTCTCCTTAAGCCCATAATGGCTCCCTCTGTTAAGGTATCTCTTTCCTTGCTCTCCTCTGTTCTTCCCCCAAGTCAATCTTCCTGTTCCCTCATGTTCTCCTCCCCCTTCCCCTTCTCCCCTCCTCCTTCTCCTACATCCCTGCCCTCATGCTCCAATTTACTCAGGAGATCTTGTCCTTTCTCCCTTCTTGAGGATCCATGATGTCTCTCTTAGGTTCCTCCTTGTTTCCTAGCTTCTCTGGGGCTTTGGATTGTAGGCTGGTAATTCTCGGCTCTATGTTTAATATCCATATATGATTGAACACATAGCATTTTGTTTTTGTTTTTGTTTTTGTTTTTTTTTTTGTTTGTTTTTTCTGTGTCTGGGTTACCTCACTCAGGATGGTTTCTTTTAGTTTCATCCATTGGCCTGTGAATTTCAAGATTCCATTGTTGTTTTTCCTCTGAGTAGTACTCCATTGTGTAAATGTACCACATTTGCTGTTTCCATTCCTCAGTTGAGGGGCATCTAGGTTGCTTCCAAGTTCTGGCTACTACAAATAATGCTGCTATCAACATAGTTGAACATATGTCCTTGTGGTATGAATGTGCATCCTTTGGGTATCCTTTGGGTATATTCATCAACAGTGGAATTGATGAATCTTGAGGTAGAGTGATTCTCATTTTCCTGAGAAACCGCCATACTGATTTCCAAAGTGGCTGTACAAGTTTGCAAACTCACCAGCAATGGAGGAGTGTCATCGTACTTACACCTGTTAGAATGGCTAAAATCAAAACCACTAACAACAGTTTATGTTGGAAAGGATGTGGAGCAAGGACTTATTTTTAACATTAAATTTAAATTGGTGTTGTGGTCAAGAAATGTAGACTACATTTTTCTAATACTTTTTTAAGATAATTTTTGTTTCCTCTTATATAGACACCTTTGCTAATGCCCCAAGTGGCATTTATTTTGAAATATCTGCCTTCTTTGGCTTGTCATTTAGATATATTTTAATCATATTGCTATTACATATCAAATCCTTAAAATGATCTATATTTTTGGGTCTTTTTGTCTCTAGTTATTAGTTAACAGGATAAATTTAAGGTACAGACACCTCTGGAATAATGAATGTTAGTGTATAGTAGGTCTACTTTTCTCTGGAATCATGAATTCCAGTGTATAGTAGGTTTACTTTTTCTGGAATCATGAATGTCAGTGTACAGTAGGTTTACTTTTTCTGGGATCATGAATGTGAATGTACTGTTTTGTTGTTGGTTTCTTCTGAGGAGGTATCAGATTAAGAATTTGCTAGGACACTAAGTCAGAAAGTAGATAGATACTAAATATTTATGAAATAGATGTAAAAGATGGAGTCTAGTCCCTATTTTTGTTTAAGGTTTGACAGTGTGATATAGTGGATGGGTTGCCAGTTAAATCTGACTATCCATTTTATATAGGTAATGAACCAATTATAGTTATTTTTGCTGACATGTTTTTGACATATGGGGATTATATAAAATTTAAAGTTGTTTGCATAAGTAAATTTGAATTTATTAGCTATGTTCAAGAGTTGGGTAGTTGGTACAGAGATTCTGTGGCCCACAAATTCTACCATACTGGTTTTTAACAGTTTACATTTTATAAACCTCACTCAAGAATACCTTTTGCTTGATCATCCCCATTTCAGGGTTTTTGCTATTATTGTTGTTATTTGCTTTATTTGGGAGGCTTGATATATAGCCATGCTGGCCTTTACACTATATTCCAGGCTAGCCTAGTACTTAAGATCCTTCTGTCTCGTACAGAGTCCTGTTACTGTTGGTATGCTGATTAATAATTTTGTTAACTTTCCCCAAGCAGAGTCCTCTTGGAGGAGGGAACCTGGATTGAGAATATGTTTCTATAACATGGCTCTGTTATTTTCTTGATGTTTGATGTGCAAAGGTTGTGCCTGCTGTGGGTGGTGCCTCCCCAGGACAGGTGGTACTTAAGAAAGCAGGCTGAACAAGCCAGTAAGCAGTGCTCCTCCATGGTGTTTCTACCGTAATTTCCCTCAGTGATTGATGAGCCTGAAAGTGGAAGACAAATTAAACCTTTTACTCCCCAGGTTGCTTTTGGTTATGGTGTTTATCACATTTATAGAGAACCTAAACAGTATAATAGGCATGTACCTCAGTCCTTTGTTGTTTTGTTTTTCATATTCTGAGGCTGTATCTCATTATGTAGTTTATGTTGAGCTTGAACTCATGATGTTTCTGCCCATTTTCTGAGTGCTGAGATTCTAAAAACAAATAATTCATTATGAGGTTTTTAAAAATTATATATCCCTATGTATAATTGGATGAAACTGCTTGTGATCACTAGGTTATGTTTGCAATAAAGTTTCATTCCTTTGTAATTTTTTTTGTCAGTCAACCTGTTTGTAAAGTAATGTAAATACGCTGCAAAATATTGAACACTTCACGAATTTTCATGTCATCCTTGCACAGTGGCCATGCTAATCTGCTTTGTATTGTTCCAATGTTAGTATATGTGCTGCCCAAGCGAGCACTCCTTTGCCATGTGTTTTGTTTGATCTGTTGTGTGCATACTCTGCAAGTCCATGTGAAATTGACTATGTTAATAAAGTGGTAGCTTTTAAATGCTCTTCAGAATATCTTCAGTATTGAGGTTAAATTATAAATTTAAGAAATAGACTTATAGTTACATGTTTTGCTTGTGTTAGGTTGTGAGCTTTTGTTTTCTGTGGTGATTTTATTTTATGAATAATTTCCACATAGTTTCCTCAAATTACAATTTAAGTAAGCAAATTGATGGATAAAATCATTCTGAAACAAACTTTTAGGTTTGGGAGCATTATGATTTTATTTAGTATTAAACTTGGGATTTGATTCACAAAATACTTTGTTAAGCATTTTAAATTTTATTTTTACTTGCACTTTAATTATATGAAAACATTTATTTACTTTGATTTTACACATGTGTTCTTTTGTTGTTTGTTTGTTTGTTTGAGGCAGTATCTTACTATGTCATCCTGTCTAGCCTGGAACTCTATTTAGACTAGGCTGACCCTGATCTCAGAGAGTCACTTACCTCTGCTTCATAGATGCTGGGATTAAAGGAGTGTGCTGATATGCCCAGTTTAAAAGGTTTTTGCTTTCCCTGTCTTTCTTTGTATTATTTTTCACATTCGTCGAAATAATAGCTCAGTAAGTGTAGTTCATTTCTATATGTCAATTGTTTTTTCTATGGAAATTAAATAAAAGTCTGACAAATAGTTATGAAAGATTTCCCTAAATTGTTAATAAATATAATTATCTGATATAAAAATTTGTTATTATTTTGATAGTTTAGAGCTAACTTTAAAATTGTTTAGAAACATCACTTATAATCTGTTGCATTCTAATAAGATTCCACAGCTTCAAAGGGAAGGTATGCAGCAAGCCTTGCCACCATCAAATCCCATGCACATGGAGATTTTCTTGTGTTAGTTTTCAAGATGTGGAAAAAGGTAGACAGACTGAAGATCTGGAGGCAAGC